TAACTCCATAATTAATACTTTCTTTATTTTCAACACATGTCTGCTTGATATTGTTTTGATATTGTGAGGAGAAATTCTGTTTTGGTTACTCGTTGTGGGAATTGATTGGTATTCCTCAGAGTTGCATTACTTTTGATTTTAATTATCCCCCAATTGGTTTGTTCCTTTTACAGGTCAGTGGTGTAGTTTACATTAATATCCCAGTTGCTGAGAAAATACTAAGTTTCCATGTGTATGCACCTCTTGATGCCTGTACTTATTATGGACTTGACACTGGAGCAGAACCCATACAGGTATGAAATTAGGGGGTAGGTTTCCAAACAAACTGTGGTGCTGCATTAGGAGGGGTTTCAAAAAATAATTCGGTTTTGTCAGCTGAGTTGATAGTGTAAATTAGCCACCTTAAAGAGTTTCTGAAGCTAACATTTCAAGTATAATCCCTTCAGGGCTAATAGAGGAATTGTGAAGAGGGTAATACTAATTTGTGTTGTTACCAAATTTCACACTGAGCATTTGTACTATTGAAATGAGTGGCCTATAATCAAATGTTCTGTCAATAAAGGTGTTATTATCATGACATTGATAATCCTTTGCACTTTAATAGCTGTCCCTGTTCTTTGACATTCTTCTGAGTTTGGCTGGGGATGTTACTGAGTCTGACTTTGTTTGTGGTGAAAGAAGTGGATCATATGGCCACAGTACTTCCATGGGGACAGAATGCAGCTCCAAGGATGAAATGGCACTAATGAGAGGTGCAAGAGCTAAGCTGTGGAAGATTCTGAGAGGAGTCTCCTTGAAAGGAGGTACTTTATAATTGACCTGTTGATTACCCATGTTGACAATATTCATAATCAGGCTTTGACTACAAGAAATTAACTGTGAAGGAGTAGATGTACAGTGTACCAGGGGCAGACCATGCTTACAGGGCCCCATGTAAGTCCCATTTCATCTTACACATTAGAGCCCCTTTTGGGGGGTAACAGGTTCATCTACACGTCAAAGCCCCATATTTCAGCACCTTTTTCCATTTATATAGGGAAATTTCAGTTTGTGAAACTTTGGTTTTTATTGGAAACAATAAATGTTGTTCTGTTTTCATTAAGTTGTCATCGAAAAGGGTGAGTTTGACTACATGCAGCCATCAGCGGAATGCTACAGGAGACAGATGCGAGGAAGCATTACCAGTTCTACGACTAGCCCATTTGAACTCTGCGTGCACACCCACGTCTGTTTCCACAAGGTACAATTTCATCAAATAGATCCTTTACAATGTGTAAGTTGTGGCGTCAGAGCTTTTTTGCGATTTTCTGTTCAGCAGCAAAACGATAACAAGAAAAAGAAGCTTTTTCTTCATTCTTTACCTTTCCCCAGGCCTTCGTGCGGCTCACGCTTTTCACCATCAACTCCAAGAGTGATAAGCTTGTAGTTTTTCCTAACGGTGTCACCCCTGAATCAAACATTAAGGTCGTGACAAAAAAAGGAAATGATCGTAAACTCAAGAAGCCCTTAATTGTAAGAGACAAATGTAGGTACCATGAGAAATGTATACAAAGCAGTATGGAGAACTTGCATACTGATGTTATGGTCTAAAAGGTTAAAGAAATTTAAAGGTGGTGTTACAAGATTACAAATTATCTATTGAGAAAATATCGTGCACGGTCCAATTTGTTTCCCCCTCCTAGACTCTTTACTTTTCTTTTCTTGGTTACAGAACAACCAAGGCGTAAC